GTTGGTGGTTTCTCTTGTTTTGCAAAAGTTTGGTTTTGTTTTGGTTTTTTTCCTGGTACTGGGAATCAAACTCACGACATTGCGCTTCCAGGCAGGTGCTGTGCCACTGAGCTAAATCCCCAGCCCCTTGTTTTGCAAGTTTTTCAGTAAGATGAGATCCCAGTTGTTGATTCTTTGTAATAGTTCCTGGGCAACCAGGGCTTTATTTATAAAGTCTTTGCCTGCACCAATGTCCTTAAGAGTTCTCCCTATTCTATCTTCCAGCAGATTTAATGTTTCTGTTTTAATATTTAGATCTTTGATCCATTTTCACTTTAGGAAGATATGGGCCCAATTTTAATCTTTGGCATGTGCAGAGCTACTTTTTCCAGCACCATTTATTAAAGCGCTCTTTCTTCCAGTGAATGTGTTTGGCACGTTTGTCAAAGATAAAGTGGCTGAGTATGTCTGCAGTTGTTTCTGCATATTCTAATCTGTTCCATTTATCTTCAGGTCTTTCTTTAGCCAGTATGACAGGGTTTTTAATCACAGAACCTTCATAGTATCATTTCAGGTCAGGGATTGTGATGATACCTGCCTTGCCTTTCTTACCCAGAATTGCCTGTGCTATTCCAGGTCTCTTCTGAATCCAAATGAATTTTAGGATTGTTTTCTCTAATTCTGTGAGATATGCTGTTGGAATTTTGATCAGAATTGCATTAAATCTGCATCGGTTTTGGAAGTATGGTCATTTGCACTATATTGGTTCTTCCTACCCAACAGCAGGGATATATTTCTATTTTCTGATATCTGCTTCAATCTTCTTTTTCAGAATACTGTAGTTTTCAATATAGAGGTCTTCTACATTCATCGTCAGACTCATTCCTAGGTATTTCATTTTTTTGGATGCTATTGTGAAAAGTGTTGTTTCCCTAATTTCTCTCCCAGTGAGTTTGTTATTTGTGTACAGGAAAGCTACTGAGTTTTTGAGTGCTGGCTTTGTATCCAGCTACACCACTGAGGTTGCTTATTAAACCTAGCAGTTTTTGGTATGTAGAGTACCATGTTATCTGCAAATAATGACAATTTCACTTCTTCCTTTCCTACGTTTATTCCTTTTAGTGCTTTCTCTTGACTAATTGCACTGGCTAAAGTTTCCAGGACTACGTTGAAAAAGAGTAGAAAAGTGGAGATCCTTATTGTGTTCCTGATTTTAGAGAGAAAGCTTCCAGCTTCTGTCCATTTAGTATGATCTTGACTGTTGGTTTGTCATAGATAGCTTTTATTAGATTGAGATAAAGACCATCTATTCTAATTTTCTGTAGAGTTTTTATCATGAATGGGTGCATTTCAGTTTGTCCAATGCTTTTTCTGCATCTGCTGAGACAATCACATGACTTTTGTCCTTGGCTCTGTTAATATAATCTATTACATTTATTGATTTACATATGTTGAACTATCCCTGTATCCCTGGGATAAATCCCACTTGGTCATAGTGTATGATATGCTTGATGATTTGCTGAATTCTATTTGCCACTATCTTATTGAGCATTTCTGCATCTATGTTCATAAGAGACATGGGCCTGTAGTTCTCTTTTTAGTTGGGTCCTTCTCCATTTTTGGTATCATGGTAATGCCTGAGTCCAGGAATGAATGTGGGAGTAGTGTTTCCCTTTCAATTTCATTAAAGAGTTTGAGTAGTAGTGTCTGGTTGTCTCTAAATTTCTTGTAGAATTCAACGGTGAATCTGTCAGGGCCTGGGTTTTTCTTTGTTGGTAGGTTTTTACTTACATCTGCAGTTTCACTGATTGATATTCATGTATTTAGGATTTTTATACCTTGATTCAGCTTTGGTAATTCATATGTATCTAGGAACCTGTCCATTTCTTCTGCATTATCCATCTAATTAGAATGCAAGTTTTCAGCCGGGCTTGGTGGCACACATCAGTAATCTCAGCACTAGGGAGGCTGAGGCATGAGAATCACTGCAAGTTCGAGACCAGCCTGGGCAAAAAAGTGAGCTCAAGGCTGGCCTAAACTGCATAAAAAGATCCTGTCTCAAAAAGACCAAAAAAACAAAAAAGTATACAAGTTTTCAAAGTAGGTACAGATGATCTTCTGGATTTCTGCAGGGTCCATGTGATTTTATCCTTTTCATCCCTAATTGCATAGATCTGAGTCTTTTCTTTCCTTTTTCTGCTAAGGCTGGATAAGAATTTATTGATTTTATTTAATCTTCCAAAGAAACAGCTCATTTGTTGATTCTCTGTATTGTTTCCTTAGTCTTTAATGAATTAGTTTCTGCTCCGATCTTTGTAATTTCCTCCCCCATACAAGCTTTTGACTTAGCCTGCCTTTTTTCTTGAAGTTTGAGGTTTACTATTAAGTTGTTTATGTGCACTTGCTCTGTTTTCCTGATATGGGTAGTCACTGCTATAAACTTCCCTCTTAAGACTGCTTTCATTGTGTCCCATAAGTTCCAGTATGTTGTCATTATCATTTAATTGTAGAAACTGCCTAATTTCTTCTTTAATTTCATATGTGAACCATTTGTTGTTTCAGGAGGGTGCTATTTAATTTCCACGCGTTTATGAAGTTGTTGTGGTTCCTTTTGCCATTAATTTCCTATTTCATTGCACTATGGTCTGATAATATACATGGGATAATTCCAATTCCTTTGCATTTACTTAAGCATGTTCTATGAGCTAGTATGTGGTCTATTTAGGAAAATATTTCATATGCAGCTGGGAAGAAAGTGCATTCTGATGTTGTGGGATGGAACACTCTGTAGATATCACTAAGTCATTTCTTCAAAAATTTGGGTCAGATCTAATATTTCATTGTTGACTTTTTCTCTAGTTGACCTGTCTTTTTGTGTGACAGTGGGGTATTGAGCTTCTCCCAATACAACTGTATTAATGCTTATTTCATTTTTTATAACTGTTAATATTTGTCTTTAACTGTTAATAACTTGTCTTTTTAACTATTAATATCTGGATACACTGATATTTGTTGCATATACATTTATGATTGTTATCTCATCCTCTTGGACTGTTCCCCTTACAAGGATGCAGTGACTTTTGTCTCTCTTAATCAGTCTTGGCTTGAAACCCACTTTGCCTGCAAAGAGAATAGCTACTTCCTTTCTTTTGGATTCCATTCTCATGGAGTATTGTTTTCCATCCTTTGATTTTCAGTCTATGAATTTGTTTTTGAATTAAATGTGTTTCTTGTACGCAGCATATTGTTGGCTCTTGCTTCTTGATCCATTCTGCCAGTCTGTGTCTTTTGACTGGGGAATTGAGATCACTAACGTTGATGCTTATAAGTGATATATATTGCCTTATCCTTCATGTGTTATTTCCTTTTGTTGTTTTGCCCTGTTATGGTTTGTGTCTGGATGTCCTCCCAAAGCCTCATGCAGTCATGGGGTGGGATCCTAGAGTTTATGATTGATCCCTGGTCCAGTGCTGGGATTATGGATGTGAGTGGAAACACACCCTGGTGCAGATAGTTAGCATACAAGATAAGGGAGGCAAAGAACCTTGTTCTCTGCCGCTCCTTCCTTTTGCTCTTGCTGCTTTTACTATCTTTCACTGCCATGAACTGTTGGCCTCTGCTATGTGCCACTCTGCCTTGGAGCCAGTCAAATATGGACTGAAACCTCCACAAACTGTGAGCTAAATAAACCTTTCCTTCCTTAATTCCGGGTGTTAGGTATTTTGTCTCAGCAATGAGAGAAAAGTAATGAAGACACTCCTTTTTTTCCCCTCCCTCTGTTTAACTGTTTGCCTTACCTGCTAGATTCCTTCTCCTGGGGTTCACAGAGTTGTAGTCCTTGTTATCTCTTTCTAGAACGTCCTTCAAAACATTTTGGAATAATGCTTTGGTGGTCATAAATTTCCTCAAATGTTCTTGTTATGGAAATATTTATTTTTCCATCAGTTTGAAAGATAATTTTACAGGGTACATCAATCTGGGTTGAAGGTTATTTTCATTTAGAACTTAAAACACTTCACTCCATGCTCTCCTTGACTTGAGGGTTTGTGCTGAGAAGTCAGCCGTGATTCTGATGGGCTGTCCTTTCTATGCAATTTGTTTCTTTTCCCTAGCAGCTTTTAAGATTCTATTCTTGTACTGAATTTCTGGAATCTTGATTATGATATGCCTGGTTGTAGATGTTTTTGATTGTGGCTAATTGGAGTTCTATATGCCTCATTTATTTGTACATCGAATTCTTTTTTCCTAGTAGGTAAGTTTTTTGCCATGGCATCTGTGAAGAGTTTTTCTTAATATCATTTGTGCTGTCTCTCTACTGAGAACGTATTACCTTGTGATTTACAGTTCTAAAGCAACAAAAATAAAGAAAGCAAAATGTATTTCATATTCTACTATGGGGAACCACTCAGACTGCTTCAAAGCTAAGGGGTGTCTAAGGACACCTGAGGATGTGACCCTGCTATTCCAGGCAAGCGCACAGCAGGATGCAGTTATGTAACCATGACTTAGCCGAGACAAACCTGCATGCACTGGTTACAGCACTATGTAGGAATGTAAATATGAGGTATAAACCTGTATAAGAATTATACAAAAAAGATCAAGGCTGCTCTTGCACTCTGCTCGGTTCCATGCTGCCAGCTGCTGTTGCTGATGTCCTGCATACTTGTGTTCTTTAATATGGGGATCCCACCCATGAAAATCTCCCTTGAGCCCTCTAGGTGGGCTGACACCTAATTTCTAAATTGCCACGTTCAAAAGATTCTGCTTAAAAGATTCTCTTAAGAAATCTTGAAGATGAAGACATCAGTATCAATTTCCAAGACAATGTGGGTTAACTAATGGTCAACTTGTAACACCCAGCTGAATTGAATCAGCATGGTTCTGGGTGTGGAAGGGCCACTTGAGGATTGTTGACAACAGCATACAAAGAGAACTGGAGGATAAGATGATGTGCTGTTGATTCTCCTGAACTTTGTCCTGCTGGCTTTCCTGATATGAACTCTGCTGTTAACATCACTGGAGGAGCTCATGTCCGTAATATTGCTGAGGATGGCTATGGTTCTTTTTGGAGGAGCTCTGGTCTTTACCTTGAATGTCACTTCTTGGCTGAAGTGGGGAATCCCTCCATTTGCTGCCACAAACCCTTCATCCTGCTGGCTCAGACTTTCTAGCTTCTACCAGCAGCCCGTGGGCCTTCCCAGTATAGCTTCTTGATACAGACTTGCATGAGACCTTGTTGTGGGCTCTAGGCCTCCAGCTGGACTTGTGTGGGACACTACCATGTGATGCAGGGCCTCATCTGGATTCTTTGGGTATCTAGTGTGTGGATAGACTGCTTGCCCTGTCGTGCATTTGACTTTTTGGGTGACTATTATAAAATAATCTGATAAATTATGTGTGCTGCACTAAATTTATTCCCTTGTAAACCCTGACTACAACATCAACCATAAAAGAAAAAGTGTTCTACATACGCAATCTCTTCTTTCTAACATCAAGTAGTTTTTCTTCTAATTCCCAAGATTCCTGTTATTAAAATAAACACATTTTTAAAAATGAGATAAAAGAAAAACATTCAAGGATATTACTTAAGTCACTAAGTTTCATCTATTAGCATTTCTAAAGTTCCAATTTTCAATTCCTCTAATTTCCCACAACAAAAATTAAAGAGAGCAATTTAAATTTTAAGTAGATAATCTGCAACATTAGTTGAAGATAAACGTTATAGGGAAAAAAAGACCACTTTAACGAGTGTGAATTCCAGCCATGCCAATGCCTGGGGACAGGATTACTTAATCATACCTAGTACTGCTACCAGAAAGAAGTTGTCACAGAAATCCTAAGAATGCAGAACTGCCCCGTGTGTAAGTGTACCTGTTGTGATGTCATTATTGATTTATTTAGCTTCAACACTTCTTTCATAGTATCCATGAGCACACTGAAAAGGAAACAAGATATGATTAACCCTAAATAATAAATCTACCTCATAAAAAGGAATCAATTAGTATATGTTTACTTTTATTAAATCCCTGTGCACTAAAACCACCACCACCCTCTGAGTCATCCGTTAATCCCCTTTTCAAATTCTCTCAATCAATACATGCTGAGCTTCTGGCAGCCTTGTGGCCTTTTCTTCCTTGTCAACAACTGGTCATCCTGGATCCCTGCTATAATACCTCCCCCCCTAAAAAAAAACCCTTCTGCTATTTTTTTTTTTTTTTTGGTCTTTTTGAGACAGGGTCTCGCTATGCAGTTTAGGCAGGCCTTGAGCTCACTTTGTAGCCCAGGCTGGCCTTGAACTTGCAATGATCCTGCTGCCTCAGCCTCCCAAGTGTCAGGATTACAGGCATGCGCCACCATGCCTGGCCCTTCTGGTATTCAACAGAAAGTCATTATTCATTATTTAACAAGATCTGAAAAGTCTCACATAAATTAAATCTTTGCTAAAATTAGAGGTATGTTTCTCTAGAAAAAGTTTTGATCACAGACAAAAAGGAATAATGAATTAAAGAATGTCAGACTATTTCTACAAATTTCATTTCTAGGAAGACAAAAGCCTAGTAACTTGCTCATAAATTGCTGTTTAAAAAAAGATTGTGTAAATCCAGAGATATAGCTCAGTGATACAAGCATCAGCCTGGCAAGTGTAAGATCCCAAGTTTAATTCCTGTACAAAAAAAAAATAATTTATAAAGAA